CACGAACATCATTTGAAAAGGCCGAGTCCTTTTCGAACGGTATTCTACTCATGAGACGGCACGTATTAATTAATAAAGAGCACGTACGGAATGAATCACCAAATAATTATTTATTTCATTATTTTAGAAATAACTTAAGAATTCCCCTTTAGCAATAACAAATGTATGGTTTAGGACAAAAATAATTAATTTTGTTATTTCATCTCATTATTTCCAAAAAAAAAAAAAAAATCGATTGTTACACAGAATATTATCAACAAGGATATATGAATGCGCTATCGGCATATAATCAGGAAAACAAATGATGAGTTGCGCAGGCAGATTCTGTTCATCCTCTGTCAGGCTCTTAACACGGAATTTTTACCGGACGTCAGTCAGGTTTGCTAATGGAAGACACAAATATTTCTCTAGCTTTGACAATGCAATTGACCAAGGTAAAGCGGACGACCATTTCTTACCGTCCCTGGGGGGAGAAACGAGAACTGAGGATACTGCGTTTGCGCACACGGTGGAGCCCTATATCACCAAACAGAATGTTTACATAGAGGGAAAGCTGTACCCCAAGGATGAATTGACGAACGTGACACCCAACATTTTATCAAAGACTACACGCCGATTGCATTTGCAACCACGACATCCTATTTCAATTCTTCGTACCTTGATTGAAGCACATTTCAACGAATTCCAACATTTCAACTCATTCAGTCCCGTTGTCACGGCAGCACAGAATTTTGACGATCTTGGATTTCCCGAGGATCACCCGGGTAGAGGTGCCACCGATAGCTATTACGTTAACAAATCCATAATGTTAAGAACTCACACATCAGCTCATCAACTTCAGGCTTTTAGATCGGGCGCCGAAAAATTCTTGATTAGCGCGGATGTTTATAGAAGGGACGAAATTGACTCGTGTCATTATCCCATCTTTCATCAGATGGAGGGAGCACAGATTTTCAATATGTCGAATGTGGCCGAGGAAACATTACGCGACATAGATAAAACCGCCTTCCAACCGACAGAGTCCATAAGCACCGATGATGATACAGTCATCGGATCCAATAATCCAATACAACCATGTCATCCCATTGAGGCAGCGAACGCAGCCACCATGCACTTAAAACACACACTGAATGTCATGGTTAGGAGGTTGTTCAAAGAGGAAAAGGATTTAAAGGTTAGATGGATCGACGCATACTTCCCTTTCACGAGTCCAAGTTGGGAGATGGAAATACTTTACAAGGGAAAATGGCTCGAAATCTGTGGATGCGGGGTGGTTAAACAGGAATTACTCGACAAAGCGGGTATTGCAATTTAATTTTAGAGCTAAGCGCGCATTAGTCATGTGAATTTTATCAATTTAAATAATGGGAAATACCTCTGATAATTCAAAAGGTAGACCGGACAAGATAGGCTGGGCGTTTGGATTGGGTCTGGAACGTATCTCCATGATATTATTTGACATACCTGATATACGTCTGTTCTGGTCGCAAGACTCACGCTTCATGGATCAATTCAAACCGGGTGAGATTACCAAATTTCAAGCATTTTCAAAATACCCTTCGTGCACCAAGGACATTAGCTTTTGGATCAATGACGAAAGAGAACAGGGATTTCACGACAATGATTTTTGCGAAGTCGTGAGAGATGTGGCCGGAGATCTAGCGGAGCTCGTAGAACTGGTTAGTCCCTGTTCCCCAATAAGTTTAATAATAATTTAAAGGTGCCAACCGAGAAAGTTGATTAATTTTCAGATCGACGATTTTACACATCCGAAAACCAAGAAAAGAAGTCTATGCTATAGGATAAATTATAGATCCATGGATAAGTGAGCTTTGTTTTCATTTGATGATTAAGCTACATACAATTAGATGAATGCTTACACAGCTATATGCATTTGTATTAATACATACTAATATCATTTGTAGAACTTTTACAAACGAAGAAATAAACAAAATACAAGAAGAGTTGAGGCGAGTGGTGGTGAGGAGGTTAAATGTGACATTAAGATGAGATTAGTTTTAATTGTTACACGATAAAGACTAGACACACTTTGATCGAAATATCGTAAAATAGTGGATGGGGCGCACATCATTCTTGTTTATTATATTCCTGATTCAAACTCGTGAACAAATTACTGATCATCTCCAAATCCTTTAACTCTTGAGCGATGGCTTTCGATGTTTCGTCGTCATCATCAATCCTTGCTCTCTTCCTCAATCGTTCTTCTTCATCTATGTCGCGACGGTTTTCTCGTTGTTGCATTTTAACTTGCTCAGTTTGTCTCAGTACCATGGTACTAACAAATGTTTCACGTTTGTCGCTTGTGCTTGCGTATTGACTTATTTTCTCTTCGTTGATCTGGCTGTGAATATTGCCGGTAATCTTTTTGATCGCCAATAACTGATCAACCACCAGGCGAACCGTCTCGGTCGTAGGATTCACTTTTTTTTTTAAAAAAAAATAAATAAATAAATGATTCATAAAAAAATTCACAAGCCGTCATGTTAGAATGAAAAGGTGTGATGGAAACACTTTACCATTATGATTCTTGGGTAAAGTAAATACAAACTCTAGTTTTTCTTTTATTCGTTCCATGCGTTTAATGTGTGAGTCGGTCTTTGACAATTCTTTCCTCAGCCTATAATTCATGGCCTTCGCCTTTCATTCATATTTAAAGAAAAGAACTTTTGTTTTATTGGGATTACTCTATTTGGAGATATGAAAACAAGATTGATTGCCAGAAAGTTCAATTACCGCCAAAACTTTTTTTCGCATCAGTTCCAATTCGGCATCAACTTTCTCTTCCCTACTTTGATCCAAGGTAAAATCCATTCCCTAATTATTCAATCATTTTTTCGTAAAAGAAGTAAGTTTAAATTTGCGTAAACTTGTCCTTGACTTGTGCCGGTAAAATCAGATGTGTGAAATCACAAATCAAATAACCTCTTGGTGTGGTAGAATTATTTTAAGGTTTTCGGGTATGGCAAAGATGTTCCTCATCACGTAAAGTTCAAACATGTCAAAATTATGATCAATCAAAGCTTCTAGTAATGTTTCTACCTGATGCATACCCTTTGTCGTACGCCGGTTTAGGGATTTGAGACGGTTATTATTTATTTTAAATGTTTAAAGGGTGGGTAAGCTCTATTCAAACCTGATCTATTTCTTCGTCAGATTTTGACTTTTTCTCCACAAATCTTTCCAGACCAATGAGCGCCTGGTACATGAGTTCATTCACCGAATCTATCACATCGTCAATCACCGAAATGGGAGAAAACTCAAAATGCTCGATCAGGATCTCCAAATCATTGTTCGCCATCTTGAAGAGTTGGCAGAAGTAGGATAAATAAGAGACTCACGAAGTTCAGAAAACATTCACGCAATGGGCCAATCATAAATTTATCCGCTCGATTTTATTCATGACGCGATAACCTCGTAATTCGTCACGCGCGAGTTTAGATCACGTGAAATGGAGATGATACAATATAATAAACATCATAAATATTCAATATACTAAATTAATGCAACTGTCCTATCAAAATAGCATCGACAATAGTTCCTGCGGTTAATTTTGAAAGCTCATCTGTCCTTCCGGGCAGAACCAATAAAGCATTGCAACTTCTCACGCTAAGAATGCGACTACTTATTTGATGACCTGTTGAGTTTGCCAAGAGTTTTCCACTCGTCCTGTCAAAAGAGATCACCACCCGATGATACTCGGGTCTCGGATCGAGGGAGATCTCGTTCGCCAGCTTTGAGGAATTCAAAAATGATCAGAATGTTTTTAATGAATGACCGTCGTTAACCAGATTAAATTCCCTTTTACCTCGGCCTGTAACATTGGTAATTTCCAATTCTCATAGCCAGCAATTTTTCGAAGGGCCGGTAATACGAATAAATAAAAGGTAACGACCGCGGAGACTGGATTACCGGGTAATCCGAAGATTAATTTTTCATGATCGATAGATGAGTCACCCGGAGTAGTAGCAAATGTGGTTGGCTTCCTATTAATATTAACGCACATATTATACAACTGTCAAATAATCATGCGTAAGAACACGACTCTTGGATAAATCGTACCCCGGCTTCATCTTCACTCTTCCAAAGTGAATGGTCGCGCCCAATGATTGCTCCAGTGTGGGTTTAAGGAGATCGAGTTCACCCATAGAAACTCCACCAGTGGTAACCAACACGTTAACCTGAGATAGAGCTGACTTTAAAGAATGCTCTAATTCTTTCGGACTTCGAGTGAGCATTTATCGAATAAAGTTTGTGTGAATACAAATTGAAACACAATGGAAAGACGTGCATACGCACATATGTTTCTTTGTCGAACTTACTCATCACCGACGATCCTAAAATCCTTGGCTTCAAATCCGGTGGCTCTCGCGATTGCCAATAGTGTGGGTCGGTTACTATCGCGAACTTGACCATACTTCAGTTCCGACGAATCATTATGGTCGACGATCTCATTTCCAGTAGATAAAATTCCAAGCACCGGACGTTTATACACTCGCACCTGAAAAGTTCGAGGTTAATAATCAACGGTGGATTTGCATTGGAATGATAAAATGTTGGTC